GGCTTTTCCCGCCTTGCGCATGCGCACAAGGCTGGCGCCGCTCAGTCTGGTCCCAGGCAGCTTCTGCAATTGCCCGGGACTCTTGCAACGTCCCGAGCCTGCCTCTTGCAGGCTCCGGACACAACATGTGCTGAACAGAAAAATTCTGACAGCGTGAAAGCAATACCACAGAAAGTTGCAAGTCATGGGTTGATTTGAAAAAAAAACCCCACACAGTAGGAAAACAATAGTATTTAGATGAAGGAAAATACTTCAAGAACTGCTTGGAACTAGGACCTAATGGCAGTTCTAGAAAATAATAAATCTAATTGGACCTTATAGGATCAATGAAAATTGAGGACAGGCCATAGGAAGCACAGTTGCAAGGTAACTAATTTTGATCTTGATCACTTTGAGATACAGGTGGGGATGGATCTAGATTGATCTATCTGAGAGGCTAGGAGAACAAGGATTCAGAGAAGGCTTAATAAAACCCAATCTCCTTATGAAACTGGGTTTATGGGGCAGCAAAGGAGATAGATGGTTCAGATCAGTGGCTCCTGAAACTGGAGTACTAGAAATGTAGCAGACTAGGGTGAAAAAGGACCTATAGCTGATGGAAACATTATTGGGGAAACTACAATATTTTCTCTGTGTGTCATAATTGAAATAAATAAGGCAGCCCTTTTAGAAAGCTTGGATTGTTTATCAAGTGCTGATGGCAGCACAGTAGAGGGCTGGGGATTTTCTACCAGAGACAGAGAGTTTGAACATGACTGAAAATAGACAAGAGCTCCTAGACAACCTCTGAGACATGGTAGGAGCTTTGAAGAAAGATAAAGGAGATAGGATACTTTCAGAGTCTGCCATTCTAAACACTTATTCCCGAAGAACAGCTCACAAATAGGACAAACAATCGCAGTGAGTCTGTTTAGTAATTGCTTTGCAGTGCTTACAAGAATTTACCATTTGATCTTCCCCAAGGCAGAATAGGCAAAACCTGTTCCCAGCTGAGAAGAAATTCACTTCCATAATGCTGGTGCTTATGAAATGGAACTTTTAACATTCTAAGACTGAGACCAAAGGCTTTCTAAGAAGAGAGATAATAATGTCTTTCCCCAAATATCATAAGGTTAAGCGGGGAGGGGGGGGGATAATGGAATCAAAAGAAAAATGAAAAGAAATTTCTTTTTAGGGCTATTGTGAGCTACAGTGTGTTAGCACTGCAGATAAAAACAAGATGGTTTGGCATGAGCTGCATCTAATCATGTGCAGTACACATGAAGGGCTAAACTCCTGACAACAATATGGAAAGCTTTCAAAGACTCAAAATGGGCTTTGTGCTGGTCCATACCCATGAATTTCAAGGTTAACAAGAAAGACCTGAGTCTACTGGGTTCCTCTCATCTAGTGCAGAGTTCCCCAACCTTTCGGGGTTGGCAGCCTGGAGTGGGGCAAGGGGGGAAGAAGGAATATTTTTGTGTGGGGGTGAATGCATGCACGTACACATGATATGTGCATGTGGGGTCACAAATGCCCGTGACACTCGCAGCGATGCTTGGCAAGTAGAACCATGAATGACCGCGACGCTCGTGTGAATGGGGCCACAAACGCCCACAACAGCCCACAGGTTGAAGACCTCTGATCTAGTGAGAAGAAAGACTTGTTCTTGCAGTCAGTTGTATTGTCTAGATTCCAGTATATGTGGCTTCTTTTCCCACAATATTTTACAAGCCTACAATTTGAAAGTCCTGGCAATCAGCTATGAAGGATGAACTCGATTAACAAGGTGACTACTCTGTACTAATTCATTGTATATCTCTTTGTTCACATCTTGTTGTGAACAAACAAATGTAAAAAATTATATGTAGTATTGTGTAAACATTGAATAAACTTCAAGTTAAAAGTTGTGACTTAAACAAAGCAGTAATTGAGAGCTTTTTATTTAATCCCTGAAAAATAGAATTAACTTTCTACAATGCCAATTCCACTATTTTGCACTGAAATAATTCTTTGCTAATCCTTTTTCTAAAGGACTATCACCTTGTAATCAGCAATAGAGGCCTCAAAGAAAGTTGACTGTGGCCCAAAGAAACATATGGAATAATAAATTTATTAGTTGAAAAAGCTACAAGACTTTATTTTTGCTTCAAAATATAAAATGAAACCCTTCTGAAACCAGTATTTTATTCATATTTTCTCAATCATCTCTTAGTATTACTGAATATGTAATTAATTTGCTAATAGTTAAAAGAATGATTAATTTAAGATGGTTAATTTAGAAGACATCTATCTGTTTGTCTATCATTTATTATCTCACAGTGCTAAATACTGATTTAACAGAAAGTTCCATTGAATTTAAAATGGATCATTCCAATGTCTTAACGATTAACACTGTATAATTATAAGTATTGGAGTTCTTTAATGCTGGAAAACAGATTAAGATTTCATTAAATGAATAAAAATGCACTCAAGAGACCCACTTAATTTGTGATACTTATTATTTTTAAACAACAACAACAACCACCACCAGGTTTGGGTTCAGATAACATGACAGACCCAATAAAGTGACTTAGCAACATAAGCAAACACTTTCTTTAAAGGAAAACAACAAAAATGATAGAAACATAAAGAAACATAAAACATAAAGAAGTGAAATGGTTCATCAAAGAAGATATAAATTTATAGCAGACATAAATAGAAGAAAAATACAATTGAAGTTAATAGGTTTGCTCTTTGAGTCCTACTCTCAATTCCTTGTGAGCTGTCTCATCTTCCTCCATCTTTCTTAGAAAACAGGAAGGTGACACCTGTTGTGCAATGATAAGGGGTCTGGTGTACAGACAGAAAGAGAGAGGGGGAGAGAGAGAGAGAGAGAGAGAGAGAAAGGGAGAGAAAGAGAGAGAGAGAAAGAAAGAAATAAGGATACTTCCAGATAAAAACTGCTGTGATTAGTACAGTATTAGCACACCTTTGGAAATATATTTTAAAAAAGATAATCCCCAGCACAGAAGTGTCATAGAATGCTGTGCTCTAACTGCCACCCAACTAGATGCTGAAAGTCTCCTGAAAACCACCATGATTAAAAATATAAATATTAAACATGCCAGTCTCGCCTACTTGATGTCCATAAACATCTCCATCTGGAAGCACCTTCAATGGAAAAGAAGCAATGAATAAAGCAATGCTGAAGGCAAACAAAACAATAAAGCAATTGGTTGTGACTAAGCAATTAATTCATTTTTAATTATCTGATTAAAGAAGTTGAATATTACAGGTTGAAGAACACGAGAGAAAAAATACAACAGTTCAAAAAGCAATAGGCAAGCTCACCTATGCTAGAGATGGAAAAATGGGAAGCAAATGTCTGCAAGCAAATGTAAACTTTTTTGACGCTAATTCCAGAAATGCATGCACGTAATAAGAACTTAGCAAAAAGTAAATTCTGGACCATTTCCAGACCAGTTTTAAATATTAGATAAAAATATAGAATGGAGATTCTAAGCAAAAATACTGTTGGTCGCAGGCTGACCAACAAATGCTTCAAATCTTTTTAAGCAAGATTGTCTATTCTGGATTACTTATACCATCACTGTGAAAAAGGCTAAATATGCCAACTTACTTTGAGTTAAAAATCTATCTGAAATCCATGGAGTAAATATACTTTCTCCTCAATTGAATTAGATATAAAATATTTTGTCTGCAGCTGACAATACTTTTTAAACTATTAATTAAATGGACTTTAGGTAGCTCTACCTCATTGTAATTCCAGAGTTAATGTTGTTATCATATGTAGACACTCAAACTATATAACTTTATTCATCCAGAAAGAAGTAAATATTGCCTTCTACAGATGCATGATATTTTCTGAGTCATAGAATCAAAGAACTGAAAGAGTTTTTTTAGAAAACTACCCTACTATCTGCAACAATCATGTTAAAACATCTCTGAAAGTTGACTGCAGATCTGTTGATTCAAATACATCTACTGCTGTGTCAAAAGTAAGTAAGACATATAAATTTAGCATTCTTTTGGGGACATAAGGTACTCTGATAAATGATACAGGTACAGCAACCCCAAGGATGTACTGTCAATGAGTCCTAATGTTAAATAACGCTATCTTACAAAAGTTTTAAAAGGTCAGTGATGTGCCTAAAATAAGATGACTAAGGTTAGTCATTGTCAAGGTATTGTGGATTAGACCCTAAAATGTTCAAACCAGGATCTTTAAGAAACTGTTTGTTTTCATATAGGTCTCTAGACTCTAACCAATCCTTGTACTCAAAATATCTATATCACCGAGTTCCAATATTAATTTAACTGAGGCAGATTTTGTCTATAGTGCCATCTAACATACTTAGTAAATATTTCAGAAAGATTAGATGCATTCTCACTGCTGTGCATACAATATATTAAAATTTATATTTGACAGCATAGACATTATTTTGATGTCCTACTTACCTATTTGCCAGATGTCCTATAATTATTTGTTTTCTTTCTGTAATTTTATATCTGTTTCTTTTAATTATATAACTTTTAAAATATGAACCACTTTGACTTTTTTTTAAAAAAAATGAAAAGTAGTGTACAAATTGTATAATTAATTAATCCTATAATTTACACATTTTAAGCAAATTGCTTTTATGCAAAGTATGGATTTTGAATAACACTTTTTTAAAATCAAAATTGCTAGGTTTGCTTGTTTTTTCTCTATGAAGGTGGAGATTGCTGCTCTATTGAATAGAGAAATACCATAAACTAGGGAACAATTGCCCAACCTATTTATTGTTAATTAAACCTGGGAGCACAACAATGTATTAAAGTGAGTCAATTAATTAAGCACAGCCTCTTCAACCACAGAAGATTCAGTTAGACTTCCAATTAAAAAAAAAAAAGTGCCAGTCCACAGATAATTGAGCTGAATGAGCCAGAGTATCCATTGTGGAGGAAGGAAGAAAGGGAGGGAAAGGAGAAAACGGGGGTGGCACTGAGCACCAAGCCCACTAGCAAATGAATCACACCTGCTCCAATGACTTCTTCAATCTTCACGAAAGACACATCAATTTCCTTGGCAAATTCACGGACAGCTTCATTGGGGTCCTCATATGTAAAAGGATCAATGTAGATCTTCATTCCAGGGGAGCCTTCCCATTTTAGTGGGATAAAAGGAGAGAAAAAAAGAATCATATTCATCTCTGGGAGGAGGTTAGAACAGCATCCTGAAGCTAAACCCTTCTTCCTTCCCTGAATTTTTTTTTAAACCAGGATCTCTTTCTAAGCTGGACAGTTCATTATCCCTTCTGTTCCAGTCCATTCTTATATCATTCTCTACTTCTCCTACAAAATCTTTTCTTTTGCAGTCTCCCTGGAAATTCAGGACATATTAGTTATAATGGATCAGGAGCAAAAAATAGATTATGTCCAAAAATGGGTGCACATTATTACTTATCGAAGCCATACCATTAGCCAATCCATTAGCAAGAAAGTAAAAAAAAAAGTGTAGCTAGAGAACAATATTTATTAGCCCAATGTCTTTTCTGCTTCCTCTGATTGTAAGGGTAGCTGTGCAATAGCAGTGAATGCAGGAAAGAAATAGAAGCAAACTAAGAGGGAAAATGAGTGAAAAGGGGAAGAAAGAGAAAAAGGGAGAAAGAAAGAAATCACTTTGGAAAAGTAAGTTGCCTGAGAAATTGAATACAAAATTAAAAAGAAAAGATAAAATACAATCAGTATCTAAGAACACAATTGGTGTGCTCTTTTAAAAGTGGAGTTACAGGTAAAGAGGATAAAATCATTTTTCAACAATTTAATGTTCTAGTAAGCTTTCTACTTGATTTGGATCGACGAGATTGCTACTTGGAGTGAAAGGTCTTCTTACAAGTCTTTTTTGTTCAGTTCACAAGAGCAAAGCTATGCAACAAAACTAGTTGCTAGTTCTATATGAAAAATGACAGCAGATTTATTGCACTTCCCTTAATGCATAATTAAAGCCATTTTTATTTACTCAGTACACCTTTTGATTGTTTTGCAGCTGCTACTGACAGAATATAGCAATTACAAGTTAGTGAGCATCCTAACAATAAAACACAATCTCCATAATAAATATTCTTCAGCTTTCTTTTACCCTTCTCTAAATGATTCTCTTTGTAGCTGATAAAACTCTACCAGACATGGCTGGAAGAATCTGAGAGTGCTAAAAGGATTTTGAGAGGAGGATAGAAATATTGTTATTTCACAAATATTAAGAGAGATCATACATTCAGAAATACAAATCATATTGGTAGAAGCACATACATTTTATGGAACATATGATCTAAGAGCATACCACTCAGGGTGAAAGATGTCTTTTCTGTTAATGGCTAGATGAAAAACCTAAGATTTTCCCTTTCTAAACTATTTTCTACACGCTGCTAACATCAGATGTTTTGCATTGACAATAACAGTCTTCAGTTCCCTTTTCAAAATGTTTCATCTCAAAAAAGTTGCTAAAGCAACTAAAACTGCAACATTTAGGTAGGTGATTGTTAACAGCTTCAAACATTAGGCTCCTGCAAGTAACTGGAAGCTTTCCAAACAGGAAAAATCACCAGTTATGGTAAGACAGGATGGCTCATATTCTTCAGTCAAAGGACTACCCTTGGCCTATGAATATCGTTTGAATGCTATTTCAAGACCGTAATCCAAAAGATGCGGATGGGTATGGCCTATGCTTTATTTAAATATAATTAAATTTCCCAGAGCCATGTAGTTCTGATATTGTAGTTCCATCATATTAAAAATTACGATTTGCCACTTTCAGATGAACTCATTTAATATTAAAATATATTTGACTTTCCTCCTGCTAAACATGTCTAGTGTGAACCAATAATATCTAGATAACTCAACCAATTGCTTCAGATGCTATTGTAGGAATGGACAACCACTAATCTATAGGCCACATGTAATTCTTAACTCTCTATATTTGGCAGCTGGCCTGTAGGTAACCAAAAGGTTTCAGAAAGATAATGCAGAAAGATAAGATAGATAAGATAGAAAAGAATAAGTTAGAAAGAAAAGAAGGGTCACCATAATGTTCAGTTTTGACCTGAATCATGTAGATTGCATTATACTTAATGCTGTGATCAAAGCCTATAACAATTGATCAATTCCTTTATTACTGGATTAATTTTATAATACTAAATCTGATGTAGAGTAATCTGCTATCTGAACAAACTATTAGGTACACATTGGTCCAAAGCAGGATTCTTCCATTACCAACAATGAAACTTGCCATGAAGTCATCTCTGTTTTGACTGCTTTATAAATGCTTCATCACATAGACTTTTACAGTTCCACAAATCCTTTTATAAGTGCAGTCACTTATTTAGCAGAATTACAAAGGAATTTACAAGATGATAACCAAGGCTAGTTTACAGATTAGAACAGCAAAACAAACATATAATTGAGGTGATCAATATGAGGGTACAATGACCTTGTAACATAGTACTAGCATACATTCTGCAAGTATAATGTAGCTTCTAAATGCCCAGCAGTATAGAATGAAGGGCCAGGGACAAGGTGTATGTACAACTGATAAATGGCTTTGAACTTGTTAAGAAAATTTGCCATAGTTTGGAACCACCCTAGGGGTAAAGGTGGGCTGACATAATTAGCACAGCATGAATGAAAGCCCAAAGATCAGAGGAAGAAAAGGACATCCTGCTATGCAATTATATGCTACATGCAACAACTCTGGTACTAATGATAGAGAATAGACTGATGCATATTTCTAGCTGATAGCAGAAGCTTTGTTCTTTTATCATGCTGAGAATTAGCAGCTTTTCCATTCTGCCAAAGGAAAACATTTTGGTACTTCAAAGATTGCACACTTCTGTATCACCAACAGATGATAATCAACAGAAAGATGCATTTCCTCAGTTTTAGATTGCTTAGGGCTTTTTAAGGGCAATATCCTGTTTTTATGAGTACTTAACAATAACTGATAGCAAAACAATAACTGTCTATAATATTTTCCTTCTCTTCTATAAATATTCCTACTGGAATTTGCAAAATGCTTTATTTCAGCAAATGATTACTCCATGAAAACTTTTTCAATCTCTTTGGATCAGGGAAACTACTTCTCGGTGTTCTTTTGTTAATGACTCTCCAGATTTTTAATCTTTAACATGTATATTCACGTAACTTTCTCTGGAAATCACTGTAGCCTTTTAACTTTGCTTCTTCCATGTCACCATTCTGTGAATGAAGGGCTACACATTTTTATTTTCTTTATTCTGATACATTTAGTATCCAAATGTATCAGAATGTAAAGTATATGAAGATTATGCATGTTGTAAAGAGTATAACCTGACACAAAAATTGCCAATGAAAAAAAGTTCATAATTCTTATGTGTAGTGTTTTTTTCATGCTAGTATCAATAGCCACCTGAGATGGACATTCTCATTAAATTATGTTTTTGTACTGATGCATTATGCTACTACATATATTGAAACATTATCCCAGTGATGTGTTTCTTACATATTATTATTTTTTTGGCCACCTCTGCAAGTCTGAAGAATAAAATTGAAACAAGTAAAACATTATCCATTTAAATGTTACACTAACTTATCTAATAGACAGCAAACAATAACAAAGAGCCAGTCTGGTTTAATGATAAGCAGAGGCTATGAGTTCAAGTCTTGTCTTAGGCATGAAAACCAGATGGATGATTTTGGGCCAGTCACTCTCTCAGCCCAATCCACCTCACAGGATTGTTGTTGTGGGGAAAATAGGAGAGAAAGTATATTGTGTGTCTTTGCTGCCGTACGTTTTTTGTAAAAAAATAATAAATGCTTTACCAGCATTTCATCATTTACATTCATACTGATATTCATATCTATCCATACATACATGAAAGGAGCTCAGTCTGCTTCAGTTGTTGGGCAATTTATTTTAATTTATCTGAATTTTAGGGTCTTGATCAATCTGATCACCATTAGCCTGATCAAGGATAATTTCTCTAACATTTTACTTTCCAATGTATATTACATAAATTCATTTTCAAATTCAATTGTTCATAACAATACAAGTAGCTTAATGTTGAAAACATTTCTAGATATTTGGGAAATATTGATTCCATTTATTCATTTAATGCATTATGTATTCCATATTTCCATCAAAATACAAGGTATCTGAGTTTCTCAGAAAAAAAGCTTTTCAACCAGATCCTGGTTGGGCCTAAATATCCTAAACTTATGAGTAATAGCTGAAAACTTCCCAATATGAAGTTAATTATAAAATTATTGTGAAAATCTTTATTTCTTACTGACCACTCCAACAGAAAATGTCAAGGTGTAAGGGGATCTTATTTTAAGTAATTTTATGATCATAGGCTATCTGGCTAAAGCGAAGAGAGTCAAGCAATATCCACATGGCCAATCAAAGAAGGTGGCTTTTATGCATGACTATTTCATTGATATTGATGAAGGTGATCTGGATGTTTTCTTTTCTCTTATATGTTACTTTTAAAAAAAAATGGAGCAAAATAAAGTAAAACAGGGGTCAGCAGGAGATTAGAAACTTAGCAAATAAGGAAATTGGATCTACCTTTCTGCCTTTACTGAAGAGTTATTCTATTAGCCATGGAGTTACTTTGGGGAAAGAATATGACATTAGGGAATGTTCACGGAGAAGGGTTAACATACATCGTCCCATCCATGCTGCAGGTTTTTGTAAAAAATCTCTCATTATTAATTCAGAAAAGAAAGGAGCAAGGCTGAAAACCAGTCACAAATCTCTCATACCCCATTTTCTTTGCTCCAGATAAGACAAACTAACACTGAAAGGAGGTAATGGTAATGAGAATTAAAGTTGTCCAGTCCTCACATTCTTTTAAACTATTTTTTTCCTGAGGTTGCAACAAAATATAATTTAACGTATATTCTGCTAATGAATGTATGACATGTGCTGTAGCATTCTCTTTGGGTACATTCCTTAGAAATATCAGTTACAACAGGGGTCCCCAACCCCTGGTCCGTGGACCAGTACCAGGCCGCGGCATGCCAGCAATCAGTCCACACAAACAAGCAAAGCCCCATCCGCGAGATGCAGGCAGCACACAAAACCACGCATCCTCCGGTCCATGGAAAAACTTCTCTCCACGGAACTGGTGCCTGGTGCCCAAAAGGTTGGGGACCTCTAAGTTATAGCACAGAATTTCAGAGGAACAGCCCGTTGATTGCCCACTGTAAGTAGAAAGTTTCATAGCTGATTGCAATTCTTCAAAGACTACTCATCAAAACTCCATTTCAGACATTTAGCAGCACCATTTCATCTCCATCTCATTCAAATTGGACCCTCATATAATCTGTCCCCATGTTCAGTCTTATGTTTACTTTAGAAACATAGTTATATAATATTGCTTCTGCTTAGTTAAAAAAAAATCAGATAAAAAAAATCAAGCATGATCTACAAAAATATTTTGATCACAGAAATAATATATTTGCTAGAAAGCTAATACATCAGTGTAAACTGATCTAAAACTTTTAAACTAGACATTTTTGTCAATTTTAAAAAAGTGCCTGTAGTAATAATCTGAAAGAAGTAAATGGTTAGGTTCTACAGTATTTTCATATTTACCACATTAATTCTAGAGACTTGGAAAAGAAGCTATTATTAATAAGAAGCTGTTCTTATTATATTGTTCTTATTAAAGCAATTTCAATTTGTTTAAAATCATTAGATTCTCAACAGCAAGCTATGCTGGCCTATATAATTTCAAGCAGAATTTACAGCTAAGCTACATTCAAAATCTTAGAATACAATTTGAAGGTCAGCAAATACAAAAGCTTCTATGAAGCTTTAATTCTGTTTCACTTTAATATTCATTTGATTAACTTTTACTATCACGATACAGTAGCATATTCTGGTCCATTCATTTGAATAATAATAAAGATGTTCTCCCCTACATTTTAGGCTCACATTGTCTTTTTTAAAGAAATAAAATGTCTGGGAGACTGCCTCTACTGTGCAAATTGGATTTCAGCTGCTCCCAATTTGGTTTCCTACCTTTTATCTCATTTCCTGATTTGGCTGAGGTTTACTTAGGTATTGCTGATGGCTGTAATCTATAGAACCCCAAAGAGTTATGCATGTTTGTGTTAGAGATTTTCCCCAAACACCTGGGAACTATCAAATATAATTGTTTGCAGCTGGCTCTGTATACCCTGTAAGCAAATAAAGCATGTGTAGGTAGGCTGTAACTATTTGGTGGTTAGGCTTGTGATTATCCTACTCACTTTCCTAATATATTAAAAAGAACCTTCATTATATAAAAACTGAACTGCTTTCCATGACCCAGATTGAATTCACGAAGCAATAGGAATGTGATATTTTATGAAACAGGACATAAGAACATTTTCCAACATTTCACTGTCACTGATAAATCAATGCATTTGGACAAAGTATTTTTAGATTGAATAAGATACAAAGTTTTGCTTATACTTTCTTCCAAGATCTTGCTTTTGCTTGCCAATCAAATGATGACTGGCACAAATACAACTGCCCTTACTGTATTCTGTAACAAGCTCCCATTTCAGGTGAGCTATGTGAAGTTCTGTGTTCCATGGATATTTGCAGAAAGGTTGATGACAGCCTCTTATTTCAAATAAACAACTGGCCCAGGAGCATATGGCAACAAGTGCTGTATAGCTTGGCTTTTCATTTTCCCTAAATGAAGCTGGGTAAAAAGTGTTCTAAAACCTACTTCAAATATCTAGCTAAACAAATGCCAGCAGAGAAGCCTTATCTTCTGAGGTTAAGGATTTCCTTCAGGGCTTTTTTGTGAATCCTTTCATTTACCCAGTTTCTATGCTCTCTGTTATTAATTAGTTCTGTTGAGCATCTGCAAAGGAAATTCTGATAGTACCATGTTTGCTCTGTTCTCTGCCCAAAAGGCTTGTAAGCATTCTTTTTGGCCAAAATTTATAAACTGTTTCTAACATAAGGGAACTGTAGCAACCTTAAAATAATATATCTGTTTTTGACTAGCATCCATTTTTTCCTTCCTTTTTTCCTTCCCGGCAAGCCCCCCCCCCCAAAGTATTTTTCAGTCTTCATCTCAACTCCAAACCAGGCCATTAAAAGATATGACTATTGTCAAAGCCTTACAACAAAGTACTTACAACTTTCCTGGCCCATCTATAACCTTCCAGATGGCTTAGTGCACTCACCTCTACCAGTACTGTAATGCTGTAGCTTATCACTGTATACTGCCTCTTTGCTATATGCTCGTTTCCTAGGAAAATAAAAAGTAAACATCAGTTCAAATTATGTTCAAATTCCAAGGCTGTGCACATTTTGAAAAGCATTTGGAGGCAGTGATTGTATAAACACGCCACTTCTCTAATACCTGGGGTCCCCTTCCAATATTGTTTTTCTCCTATGTCCCCTGCATATACACTCTGGTCTAGGACCTATTACCAAAAAGTACTTGCAGTATAATATTCTTTCCTTTTCTGTGTCTCCCCTTGGCTCATTCTGTGCCCCCCATTATGTTTTTTTGTATGTGGCCTCCTTGAAATATCCTGGGGGGGGGCATATGGCTCTGAATTGAGAACTGCAGCTATAGACCAAGTACTATGTAATTCTAGCTCTATCATATTGCCATCAGAAGAATCTGATGAGGATAAGACTCAGCTTGCTTCTGTAGGGAAAGAAAAATCAGTTCTGTGTTTATGGCTTTGTCATCGGCTTCTGACTGAGAGAAGGAACCATCAGCAGAAACTATACTTAACCATCTTAAGAAAAGTCTGAGTCTGTAATATGACAGTAAGGTTCTTTTCCATCTGCTATAGACAGCTCCTATCTAGGGGGAGAAGGTGATCATATCCCAGATCATAGCTGTCCACATAAGGATCAATGAATAGATTACTAAAACAGTATCTGTTACTCTTATGGGCTAATTTCAGGCAAAAGGATTAATTTAAACCAATCCATGATTCTATTTCTTGCTGTCTTCTGCTGTGGCTGATCTAATCCATCTGTCTCTGTCCTGATTAAGTAAGATACCATTTACTTTCCCTGGAAGATAGCAATACAATATAGCCAGGATTATATTTTTCCTTTAATAAATGCACATCCCATTAAAGGGCTTATTTCAGATGTAATGAAAATTTGGTTCTACCTATAGTTTGTTGAATAAACCACAACGGCTGAATTCACACATAATAAGAGGCAGGATGTTTACATTTTTCAGGCTAAGGCTGCATTTGGTCCTTGGGTGCTAAAATGTAAGCAGAACCAGGGCATAACTTTTTTTGATTTAATTAAATGAATTTACTTAAGTACAGTTTGTATGTGTTTAATATATTGCACGTAAACTGTATTTAAGTAATTTAAATTTAAATAAAAATTACTTAATTCCCTTCTCACATATGAATATATACATTGAACAAAACATTTCAAAAGACTTTAGGGGCATACCCAAAGGAGGTTTCACATTGTGCACCTCTTTCCTGAACTTACAAGTTTACAATGCACAGCAGCCGGCTGCATATAATCTGTAAATCAAAGCAATGCAAACCACATTATGGCTCAACATAATCTACAAATACACCCCTAGGTCCTTAGTGGGCGTATTAGCATTGCAAAGTCGATTAGCTGATCACAAATGAAAATGAGTCCTACTTTAGAGAACCCATTCCAGAAATGTATCAGGGGTATCTGCAAGAGGATTGGAGTAAAGTCAGTCAAGATGTCAAGCATGAATGTGTGACTGGAGCCTCATTCCTATGTGGACGCACACAACATGAACACGTGTACAAAGGACAGAAATACGGTCACACTCAACTTCTTAACTAATTTAATACAGGTAAGTCCTTGATTTATGACCACAATTAAGCCTAAAGTTTATGTTGCTAAGTGAGACATTTGTTAAGTGAGTTTTATCCAATTTTATGACCTGTCCTGCCACAGTTATTAAGTGAAGCATTACATTTGTTAAATTAGTAACATGATCGTTAAGTGAATCTGGCTTCCCCATTGTCTTTGCTTGCCAGATGGTCACAAAAGGCGATCACTTGACCCCGGGATGCTGTGACTGTCATAAATATGAACCAGTTGCCAAGCATCCGAATTTTGATCACATGACCCTGGGGATGCTGCAAAGGTCATAATTGTGAAAAATTGTCATAAGTCCCTTTTTTCAGTGTCGTTGTAACTAAACAAACTGTTCTTAAGTCGAGGACAACCTGTATTTTCCTATGAATGCTCCTGAAATGCACTTTGTAGAAAACTACCACTGTGGGCTGTTTTTGGCCAACAGTTAACAGAGTTATTTTCTGATACTGCCCTTCAAAATTTAATATGATTTACTAGAACGATTTAGTAATTTCTTACATTTTTAGTAACCACCCTATGTCAGATACATTTTCAGTGGTTTGCAATTACACCATACAATTAAAACTAAATAAAACAGACTTACAGTGTGGTAAAAACTATCATTAATAAAATAACCTTTTGTGTAGGTGGATAATATAGGATCAAGAAGCAAAAAGACAATGAAAATAGCAAACACCCATTTATTGCACCATAGTAGCCAACAGAAGGCTAACATACCATAAATATCCTCTGTGGGAGACCAAGAAGAGAATCATTTGGACAAGATTAAGCTGAGGGCAAACATTAGAAGGCAGTTTGGCCTTGGGAGACAAGTTTCCTAAAAGCAGCCCCCCCAAAAAAAGAGAGTTATCTAGGTAATTTGGTTTCTTTTGATTTGGTATTCTCAACAGAGGTGCATTCCTGGAGCTTTCTGACATGTAAATATTTTCTGGCACATATGTTTTTTTGCAAAAAAACAATCTATGTCCACTGGCACATCCATTCGTTTGTGGGATGTTTTCTGGGCAATCACTGCAGATCATTAGTTTTGCCAAAAGTATCCTGCTGAACATTTATGCATTTCTGCTATCACCTCTGGGAAAGTTCACCTTTGGAATGGAAAGAAAAGGCTAATGGGGCAAATAATACCTGCTGCAAACAATTGAAATAGCCACTAAGGAGACAATGAAGACGACCCCTGCTGCGGCAGAGCCAGCAATCAATGGCAGTTGTTCTCTCAGTTCTGACTTGTAGTCATCTGGGGGGGAAAAAATAAGTAGTTTTGTAATTTTCCTGCCTGCTGATATACACCTTCCACAGTTAATAATACATCCTGATTATTTATTGATGAGACTGGTATCCTCCTATTCTTCCAGGACGGCATACACAGGTAATTGCATTTTACCCTACTGTTTGTGAAATGAGATAAGCTAACAAGCAGTGTTTGGTTCAAGACAACCCATGGAGGTGCATGGCAAATCAGGAAATTTAATCGGTGGTTCCCTTTTTAAACCCCAGTATTCACTACCAAAACTATTAGAGTAGATCCTTTCATATCCTGAAAATAATTTTTTAGTTAATGGAACTCAGGTTTGATTGCAACCTCCTCCTCCTTTTCTTCCAACTATATTTAGCATTAACACTAGGAAAACACAACCTGGAGAACAGATTTTACAATTAAGTTAAAGCCTATGGAATTCTTGATGTTCTCTGAGCTTGGTTATTTGCTTGGACATTTAATTAACCAGCTAGGTAACATCATCAGTGCAGTAAGTGTAGAGTTTGCTACCTATTTCTGTATAATAGCTTACTCTATGGAAGTTAAGCTAGTACATATAGTATACTAGCAGGCAGCAACTCTACACTCACTCTACACTCATGATATTACCTAGCTGAGGAATGAAACATCTGTAAACAAACAACCCTCAGAGAGCACCAAGGACTCCATCTTGAGCTACATATATTGTGTTCTAAATTGAAGGCATTGATGGGATTGGAAAGAATGCTTTATAAGTGTTCATTCTATTAATAATATCAATCATATTTTAGATGTCTACCCTTCTGTCTTTTTATCACAAGTACTGATTAATTTCTACATTTTGGCAAACTTTAGTTTGCCATTATATCTGAATTGATGGTTTCTGCTTGCCCTGAAATTCAGGACTGATACTTAATATAAAACTCTAGGAAATAATATCCCTTGTAACATTCTCTGGCTTCTTCAAGAAATTATTCAGATAAAGTATTGTCTACTTGCTCCCACCTTACCTCAATGGACTGGTAGACAATAAATTAATTTGATTAACATTACTGCTTATCTTCTAATAATTCTGGCATGAATACTTAATAGCTTAAACTAAATTCATACAAACAGAAAATTTCACACCTCCTTTTAATTTTCTTATTCTCATTTGAAGCTAATTACTGGTATCTGCTTTATCTCCTGCCTGATGCATTAATTTTGAACAAATTCCCATCTAACAATCAATTATTATTTAATAATACAGTATCCATTCTTGTTAGATTTCAATTAGCTGCTTATGTTTCGGGCAGAATATTCTCTTTGCCTGTCTAATTGTCTAAGTAAAATGGAAATATATTTTACAAACGGCTCATCTCTTCAGTTAGCAATTGATGCACACATGCTTCCCATTTCTTTAGTTAGACATTGCTCAAGGACAGTGGACTCTGTGTTACAGTTAGGCTTATGAAGCAAAACTATGTAAAAGTACTTTAGAGGGGAACCACCTGTGTTATGACATTATGATGTGGGACAATAATATATATTAATTAAAAGGTTAAAACAGGTTTATTCATTTGCTAAAAACTTAAAGAGGCCAATAGAGGTCAATATATACTTGTTTTTTTCCATCAACATACTTTTGAATTATTGTGCAATTAATAGTCACATTAATTATTACATTCGCAAGGACACTGATTATAGTAATGTATTACACTGAGATCCAGTTTTAGAATATTTTTGAAAAGCATCCAGTTCATGATAAAATGTGTAGAATGTGCGGCAATATCTGAATAATCCTACATTTCCTGTGGAATGAATTTAATGTCGTTAAGGATGAATGTAAAAAGAGACTGCCAAAAGTGAAGAAACAGAAGAAAGCAAATTTGATGTCAGAATATAACCATAGAAATTGTCAAGAAGACAAGCCAGAGCCAAGAAAGACAAAAATGTCCCAAAAGAACTTAACAAGAGATTCAGAGAATGTTTTCATGAGGCAAGAACCAATATTACAATAACATCTATAAAGGCATTGAACATGGAAACAGCATAAAAAACAAGAAAGTTTATTGAAAAAATATCTGAACTCAGAGGTTCCAACCTCAAATTGGTATAATGCAGCATTTCCTGACTTTTTTAATTTATTTATTTATTTATTTATTGAATTTATATACCGCCCTATCTCCCTTACGGGACTCAGGGCGGTGAACAGGCGATAATAAAAACCACGATAAATATACACAAATTTCTGTTCTAAAAACAAATTAAATAACAGGCCTGCTCTAAAAATACCCCATTCAAAACCCCCACTAAAACATAATCAAACTATGCCAGGCCGGCCGCACGGAATAGATTTAGAATAGATGCCTGGGATTTAAAAAAATCCAAGGCATATTTCCAACTTTCTTTGTCTCCTGTGGCCTCCACCCTACTCTACATCCATGTCTCATTACCAGATACACACATTAGATAATAATCTGATACATTTTCTGGCATCAACAAGGTCGTATTTGCAGTATAATGCACTTGGCTTTTCTATGACCCCCCTCGACATGTGTCATGCCCCCATCCCATTTCATGTTTTTCATCTGTGTCTTCATTAAAATACCCTAGGTCCCACAGGAGATGATACGGCTGCTGGTTGAGAACTGCAGTACTAATGGATGTCAGTGAACAGATAATAATCAATTCAAAGGAGATCAAAATAAATTTTTGTCTGGTTTGGTCTAGTGGTTAAGGTACCAGGCCAGAAATTGGGAAGACCATGAATTCTGATCTCCTTAGCCATGAAAGCCTGCTGGGTGACCTTGGTCCAGTCTTAGCCCAACTCATCCTCACAGGATTATTGTGGGGAAAATAGGAAGAGGAAGGTTTGTTGGGAGTTATTTAGAGGAAGGTTTGTTGGGAGTTATTTGTAAAAACAAAATGGCAGGACACAAATAAATAATAAATAGAAGTATACTGAAATACAGGTAGTCCTCAACCTATGACCATTGGGTCAGTGACCATTCTAAGTTGCAATGATGCTAAATGAGTTCTGGATTTTTCCGCACCCTGTGGTCATGTGATCAGAATGCCTGGCAATCCATTCACACCTACAATCAGTTGATAAGCACCATGTGATCACATGATTGCCATTTGCAATCTTCCCTGCTGGCTTCCCCAGATAGTAAATGGGGAAGCTGGCAGAGAAGGTCACAAATCACTGGAGTAAGTCTCTCCCACTTATGCACCCCCCTTCTGCTCCATACCACTCACACCATGTCAGTCAGTCACCCCCATGCACACTCCCTGATCTTTCTCACACCTTTGCATACTTTTTCCAGTACATATGGCACCTCTCACACACCCTCCCTCACCTTTCCCAATCCATATGGTAATCCTCTTGCACCCTCCAAACACACACCTCTTGCACACACCCTCCCTGACCTCTTGTGCACCTCTTGAAGCCTCCCTGTGTTGCGCCTCTTGTACATCCTCCCTGACCCTTTCTCACAAAACAGAAATTACGGTCCTATATGCTGTTGTAAATACAGGACTACTTGTACTATACAGTAGAGATGTCAGCATCCAAGATAACTTATAAAATAATTCCTACTTACAGGAACCTCTATTAGGTGACCAGCACTCATTATCAAATTGAAAGGTTACAAGACTAATGACATACCAATGGAAATATGGAAAGAAATAGAAAAAGAATAAATAAAGTAAGAAACTATGCCAGCAAATATGAAGAAAGACACAGATCAGTCTACATAACAAAACCCCACCCAAAAGGGAGACTTAACAGTGTGTGTGCCAACTCTTGTGCAATATCCTTCATTTCACATGCTAATAAAATAATGCTTAGGATCAACAATGCAGATTAAAACCCTACATGAAAAAAGAGGTGCCAGATGCTCAAGCTGGTTTTAGAAAAAGCACAGGAACACAAGGCAATATTGCTGATGTGCACAGGATAATTGAGAAAGCCAAAGAACACCAAAAAGAACTAAATATGCATTTCATTAATTAAGGAAAGCCTTTGATCATATTAAACCATGAAATGTGCTTAGAAAAACGGGGATCCCAGAACATCTCATTTTCCTTGTGAAAAACTTAAATACCAGTCAAGAAGTCACTGTACAGACAGAACATGGAGAAATATATTGACTCCAGAGTGGGAAAAGAATGCAACACGGCTATATAGTCTTCTGTTATTTATTCAGTCTATTTGCTGTGTACATTAAGGAAAGCTAGATTGGATGATTAACTTAGTACTAAAATTGGAGGAAGAAACTTCAATAACTTGAACTATACCAATGCCCCAAAATACAGAGGTTCTGCAAGCTCTCATAATAAAACTCAAGGTACATAATGAAAAAGTGGGACTAACCAACCAGCTAGAACAGACAATGAAGGTATCCAAGTGGTGGATTGCTTTCGCTTTTTAGGATCAACTGTCAACAGTTAGAGAACAAGCGGTTAAGAAATAGGTCACATATTACCACTTGGTACAGCAGCTATGAAGATCTTGGAAAACTATTCAAATGCAGCCATGTATCTATACTAATAGTGATCAGGGCTTTGAAGAATCAGGATAGGATGAATATTGATGCTTTTGAACTTCGATATTGGCAGAGTCTTGATAATATGGTAGACAGTCAAGAAAACAAATGAATGGATCACTGAACAGAATCAACCCAAGGTACTGATGACTAGGCTTAAATTATTCTACTTCAGACGAAGACCAAACTTCTAGAGAAGACTGTAATGCTGGGAAAGATGGAAGGAAAGAAAGAAAAGAAGAGCATGACCAGCAGCAAGATGGATAGACAGACTTGGTTACAGTGGTGATGAGTGCACTATTGGAAAGACCAGGTAAGTGACAGACCATCCTAGATGAAACCTAACTGTGTTGTCACTAACAGTCAACAATGACATGGCAGCACATAATCAACATAGGTTTACAATAAATAAGAACTGAACGCTTGCAGTAGTAGGATAGATTGCAACAAGCAAACAACTTCTTTAGATGCAGATTTTCATACCTGGAATGCTGTCATCACAAAGACTTATTTGACATCTGCTCCAAAATCCTTTCAGCTCCAGGCAAAGAACACCTTCCTCCCCTCTTAGATTTAGGGGAAAATAGTAAGTGAACTTTATTTTTTTAATATTTGATCTTGTAGATTATCATTATTGCTATTTTTATCATGTGGCCATTTTATTGATTTCAATAGCTTATTAAACCTTTTTTTTAAAAAAAAACTATTTAGGGAAGGGCTGGTATGATATATATCTCTGTGTATATGTAATTAAAGCAATTAAAACATCTGCCTATCCCCAATTCAGAAAGCTGTAATGAAGTTTATCAAGATAATTCACAAATCAACTTTTACTTGAATAAGTCTGAGTAAGAATTTTTCTAAAATATTATTTCCTAAGTTAGTAGCTTCTAGGCAGGTAAGTGTGGACGATGAGCATTTTAGTCCATTGTACCTGGAAGATGACATTTAGTGTACAACACATGTCTCTCCTAAGCGTATCAATACATTTCCACTCTCCAGAAATTCTATCCCATAATCTGTTGCTAGGTAACAATAGAAATTTCACAGACTTCCATGGGTAGATAATTGTTTTATTGTAGAGAAAATCTGTCTACTGCAGTTCACAGCAATCTAGAGCTCTCTCTGATATATGTTAGGGCAGAAGTAGTCAACCTTGGCTCTTTTATGACTCGTGGACTTCAACTCCCAGAATTCCTGAGCCAGCTAAGCTGGCTCAGGAATTCTGGGAATTGAAGTCCACGAGTCATAAAAGAGCCAAGGTTGACTACGCCTGTGTTAGGGTTTAAATTCAAGGCTTTTCTTTGTCTTTCTGAATCAACAACATTCCATGGCTTTCTTTAAAACCAGGGAATAATTGCAGCTCTTCAGCTCTTACAGTGTACTACAAAATTTTGTTTTATATTTTGGTGTTTCCAATTACCTTGTAGTCTCTGGAAATGAATTATGTATGCTTAAAGTATGATTTTGGTCACTTTGCAAATAATTATGATTCATTTGAAACATAAGTATCCTATAAAACCTATAAAAATTACTGTATTTCAGAGGTCTATAGGTGCAGGATGAACTGATCAATTGTTGGCTTATTGATCCATCTAAATATTTTCTATTTCCTTCTGTATATTTTCAAAAATGATTTTTCTTACTTATACATTACTAAGACACTATACATATATGGGCCATAAACCTAGAAAGTACCTACTGAGACCTTTAATTCTGACACACAGCATTATTGTGAAATATTCAGTCCCAACATCTTTTAATATTTTTAAAAAGATTTGTATGCATACCTCTCTAATATAAGGGACCTTCTTAGACACTTCCCCTAGTGTTTTTTTTTAAGAGCTCAGCTATTTCCAATTGCTTTTAAAATGCGACGAATCAAATGCAACTAACCCTTAAGCACAAAACATTTTAAAATATACTCCTTTCTTGGGCAGCAGGGCATGGAAAAAGACATGTTATTTGTCCATTTTTAAGAAAATATCTGACAATGACCATCATAAATAAACTCCATGTATTCCTGTACATTTAAGTTCATCCATTCCACACCCTTTAAAATCTGCACTCAACTTTTTTTAAAAAAAATGTTTCTCTGTTCATGCCCAAATCCTTGATAACCTACTATTATGCATTTTGGTGTTCCAACACAGACTTGGTCTTAGCTCTTCCTAAGAAGTGTGTGTTTGTGTGTGTTTGTGTGTGTGTGTGGGAGGGGGGGTTCTTTTAGAGCCAGAAAGACTAGTAAGGAGGAGGAAGAAGAGGAGGAAGAAGTAGAGGAATTTCAGCCAGATTAGCCCTCCAACTGACAATAAATCACACTTTTATGTAAATCACTTGATCTTGCCATGCTAACCCCCACAGAAGGGTTTGAACAGACAAGTTGATTTAATTCAATTGCAATGTGGGAATTTGACAGGGGGTGCAACCAACTTCCCTCAATTTCAAAGGCACTCACCATCTGTCAGAGTTTGGAAGCACATTTTTCCACTGTATTTCCCATAGCCAGCCACAGTCCGAGCCCGCACCTGCACTACATAAACCATCCCAGGCCGGAGGCCATCAATTCGTGCAGTGTTGGTCTGACTTTTGGCCATAGAGGAGTTGTACTCATTGTGGTCCTTCAGTAAAAAACAAATGAAGGAGAAGGTATGAGGGAAGAAGCAACATTATTTGCAGTATCAACTAAGATGTTGGTTAAAAACGTCAATCCCAATTGCCAACTTTTTTCTTGCTTTCCACTTCTTAATGAATAGGATGGAATGAGGATAAGCAGAGGGCTATTTTTTAGCTATCTAAAACAAATTGAAATTGGGTTTTGGGGACATTCTAAAGCTGTAACTTCCATAAATCTTAGCAAATCACATATTTAATGGGAATTGTGACAAGTCCTATGGAGGCTTCCTGATTGGGAAAGCTAAAGATTTCAGCAAGGAAGTTAGGGTTTTACATATTAATATTACTCAAATCCATTTTGATTCTGTCCTTCTGTATTTATGCATTAGTATAAATGAAAATAACTACAAATAATAAGTAATTAATGAGAAAATTGTGGTACTTGTGCAACTTGCAGTGGAGGTGTGCCTACTGTGTAAGTAAATAAGAAATATCTACATGTTTTTCTGCAAAATCAAAATACAACGCAATGGCTTTTAATTCTTAGGTAACAAATTTAATATTCAGCAGATATGTTTATTCTAGCTATTCACTCTTCTAAATGGCCCGAATAAGAGAAACCATAGCTATATTTAAATACTTATCTTCTACACCTGGCATGACTTGACTATGAAAATGATATAGAACAGCTATCACAGTTCAAGCACAAAGCTAAGACATAACAAAACTAGAATCCTTTCTCAAGCTTTTTAGCATACAGATTGGTTTTGGTTACACTTGGCTGAAAATCTTGCTTCTGACTCAAAACTTTGATTTTATCCTCTTTTCAGATTAATTCCTGGATATGGCCTCTCCTATGCTGCAAGGTGAGCAGCAAGGCCTAAAAGTGATTCCAGTTAAATAATTGACATTCACACAGTGATCTGTGCAACAGGTCTATGGAGTAGGAGACTTCCCTCTATAGCTGAATGCATCTGGAAGAAAACAATTTATCCAATTTTTTGTTCATTTTAAGATCATTACATATATATTTTTCTTATGCTCCAACTGCCTTTTTTCTCCTTCTGGACTGTATCATTTCGCCCCATATAGTTGAACATTGAGGTGAGAGGATCTGCTTCAAGTGTGACAAATGCAACCAAGTACAATACTGTGCCCTGTAATATTCCTTCATCTGTCTGGATGATTGTCTAATTCTAAACATCAGGCATGGTTGTCAGGCCTGTACAGTAGCATGGCAGCTGATGCTTGCTTCCTTGGCATTGGATATCATTTACTGTACCCCAGGGCCTCATGGGCAAAACTAGTTCAATCTACAGCCAACTGTGTCGGATTATATCTATCTAGCTCTTACAAGGTAATAAAACAGGAGTCATCTGTAGGATAGCAGGAGCTTACAAGATAGCTTTTAAGAGATAAGTGTAGACATTAAGGAATGTTATACAGTGCACAAAATACTATCCAAGCATCATCAAAATAAGTCCAGGATGCAGAGTGGCATTTCTAGCAAGCTTTTAGTTGTTAGAAACAATCCTTATTCAAGAACACAGGGACTGAAATAAATATACAATGCAGACAAGTAGGAACCAATGGGCAGGCCCCAGCTTCAATTAATTACTGTTGCAAATATTTTTTTGCAGATTGATTTAGTGTAGCTTACGATGGGAATTCCCAATCTACTGGTGTGTATCACAAGGCAAATAACAGGTAAAATTCATTAAACTAGAAAGTCATCATGGAAGATTTGACAAAGAAAGAGCTCATTCACCTATATTAAAAAAAACAAAACCAAGTCAGGTTTATCCCATGAGTTCCTTATTGCTATGTGGAAAAGAGGACACAGTAGGGATAATCTATTTAAAATAAAATAAGAATTTCACAGTGATAGCCAGAATCTTAGGCTGGAGTGAACACAGAAAATCTGCAATCTAATTTTTGGATTAAATCAAAACCAGGCATTCCATGATATGTTAAAAATAGCTGGCAGTTTCAATTCCATCTTTTCCCATTACCAGCCCAGCCAATTCCCTTCTCTGAAATGCATTCAAGCTTACGGTAGCTGGTCTTGAGCCCATGGCGCTGCTAATCTCAGGGATGCAGATCCGGCTCAGCTTCTCATAATAACGGATTTCATAGTCCAGGATGATGCCATTGGGCTGTTCTGGCTGAGGCCATGACAGTGTGATGCTCCTCATGGTGGCACTTACCTGGTGCATAATAGGAACTGTGGAAGGTGCTATGGAGAAAGGAGGGAATAGGAATTGCAAGAAAAGTGAAACAGGGGGAGGGTAGTGAGATACTCTGAAGGAATAAAAGTAAAACATCGGGATGAGGACAAGGAGAGGAGGTCAGTAAGAATGGAGGAGGAGGAGGAGGCATGTAACACAACATAATGAACTTCAATACAATAGTAAAACAAAGTATTTCATGACATAAAGAGAAAAATTAACACAGGGATTAACATCCTTTGTTATTCCTGCTAGCTTTCTGTGTTGGAAATGACTCTGGGCATAATGTTTCAGAAAAGGGTACACAGAAATAAATGAATTGATGAAAGCAAGTTATTATTGCCAAGGAACCTCAAGACTTCATACAAAACTGTGCTAGCTCCACTAAAATTAACAGGAGCAGCATAAAAATAAGTAGCAATAGATTTCAATGATATTTTGACGGGAAGTTTTCAATAAAATGTACCCTTAAAACATGAATTCCATGGCAGGCTACTTTGAAGTCCTATATAAATATATCAATATAATTTTGTATATTCACGAGGCCTCATGTAAGGTTTATCTCAATTTTCCTTTCAGAACTGAACTCTAACTGCCCTTTCACCCGTCATCTTCCCTGTATGCATGTTTCCCTGCCTATATTTTTATATTCTCCATTTCTTCAGCAATAGCCAAATATCTCTTCCTCTGCTTTTCTTCCATTTTTTTCCAATGGCTGACCTATGACTCTTAACATCTTTCATTCACACTCTTTACTTCAAATAGTTACCTCCTCCAAGATTTCTTTTCCATCCCTTCTAGTCACTTTTTTCTTTGTATTTTTTTCTGTTTACTGCCTCTTCCATAATCTTCTTGTCAAAGGCTTCTTTATTTTGTATGCCTTTTCTCTCTCAGCTTAGATTCCATTCTTCTTTCTCTGGGTGCCAGTTCTTGACCCAGTATGGTTTGGCTACTAGTGTTGGACTGGGACTTCCCAGCTTCCCATCAAATCTCAGCCATAGGATTCACTAGGTCTTTGGGGGGGGGGTAGGTGTCAGTCATTGTTTCATGCCTAACCTACCTTCCAACATTGTTTGTGTATAAAATTAAATGAAGACACCCATGCCAATCGCTTGAGAGAGAATAAAAGTTAAGCTGTGCTGTCATTAGGGATAGTCATATCTCCTATATTACAGATATGTGCCATTTCCACTTCCTTATTTGGGTATCCTTCAGATTCATGATCTTCAATTCATATTTTTTCTAGTCAGAAAGGAGAACTGCTAGAAATCCCAAGAGCTGAAACTTGTTCTATTTGAAAATTTCAGGCATAGTGCCTGATTATCTGAGTGATTATGTCCAGTCATTTCTGCTCATCCAATATATTTACATCTAATGGGTGTATTCCAAGTCAATTAATTTTTCATTACGGTCACAGACCAGAATAAAAACTAAAACATTAAAATAAATAAAACAAAACAGAACAAGACATAATAGTATATTACAGTTAGTGGTGTGATCTTCAATGGATGGTCAAAGTCTGCCTAATTTTACAGACACTATAGCAGAATTCATCTATGTTCAAAGAACATTGTGCTAATCCAACAATAACAGCTCCACATAAAAGAGATCAGAATTTCCCAGGTATTGTACCAGTAATGAGTTATAAAATGAGTCCGTGGATCCTTATAGAGAATATAATGTAACAGGACATGAGCTGTACTTTCAATAGCCCCTGTCCATAGGGGGACTCCAGGTTCCTTCTATTTAAACATTGACATCTTATGGGACTGAAGAAGACAGCCTACTCTGTCACTGCCCTTATCCTCTGCAATAGTATTTCTCCAAAGATATAGATGGTGCCCATTCTCCTGGGGTACTGGAAGACCCTCAAGAGCTGGCTCTATACCCAGGCTTGTTCCCATACTTAGGAACTCTACACAACTAGGATCCTCAACCATGGGAAAGCCTGTAAACACACAATCTTTATGCAGAGTTTAACATCTATCTAACAACCTCATACTCCCCTCTTATAGCAAATCGAATTATAGAGACTTTGAAGCCCACTTTTCAGTAGCACTGTTTAGAAAATATGGTCCTTAAGTCTGGAATTGCAATTTGATGCTACTGTTTAAATAATGTATTTTTCTACTAGTTTACATATTTATATTATTTTACACTGGTATATTTTTATCCTTTACTTCTATAATAATTTGAGGTATCATGAGTGGGTATATTATTTGTAATGTGTTATTATAAATTATTTTAATATGTTGTGATCTCCTTGGGAGGAATAACCCTGATTTGGAATATCAAAGTAATATTTTTATTTTTTATTTTATGGTATAGAAAACATTCACTCCAAAGCAAGTGACCTTTGTGAATTTGGTGAGTCGTTGAAATGATTCATATAGTACAGCAGTGACCTGTAGACTTCAACTCCCAGAATTCATCAGCTTACATGGCTGGTACAGGAATTCTGGGAATTGAAGTGCACAAGATCATAAAGGGGGCATAGTTTCCCACCCCTGCTTTAGTATATACCATTTGATATTTCACCCCTTATATGTTGGTTTGAGATATAAAATGAACTATGCTGTTGGAAAAGACATAAGGGAATGATGTAGCATCGTTGCTATATTGCATGTAGCTTCTGTATGAACTGTTGAAGCTTTTTAAAGAGGGGTCTTAAAACAAAGACAATTCTCCCCTCCCCATCCTCGGAAATGCAAAAGCCTGGAAAAACAAGGGCTGCTTCAGTGAATAATCAAAAAGTTCATAACACTTACTCCAATCATTTGGAAAACAAGGACATCTCGGTTTGCACAATTTTAACCCTATTAGTTCAGGAAAGAAATCAAAAAAGCAACTGACATGACAAGGAAATTGGATCCCATCACTAGGGTCTTTTCGTTTGGGAAAAGACTACTGAAGTAGTGCTGAAGTTGATAAAGTCATGCATGCAATACATTATATGGGCAGACAATGCTTTCAAGAAAGCAAAGACAGGTCTATGACCCATAATTAATCTTACTGATTAATTTTGAAATATACACATCTGAGGCACTGTACTTTTGAATACCATTTTCTGTGCAACAGGAAACAAAATGGACTATTGCTTTCAGTTATTGATGAGGGTAGGAAGTATCTTTCTGCTTAGGATGCTTGATAAAATAAAGTACGGCTTAACATCACAGTTCATAATGTTTTTATAACAGTGGGAAGTTAATGTAGGCATCATTGCAGAACTGGTGTCTCCATGGCAGTGTTTTACTTTCCCACCTCCCTGCGTTTTCGTCTCCAGTCCTCAAATCTAACCTTCCCCTTTCTGCTTTTGCCTAGACTTCCAAAGGAGAAGGTTCCTTTTTTTTAAAAAAAAAAAAATGAAAATTAAAAATTGCAGTATGCAATGTTATCCACTTGGAAGCAGAAGAAAGATCGTTTTATAAAATAAAAATCTTTTCATTCCATTCTCCTATTGTAATTTAAAGTACTAGTTTTAGCCAGCAAAACCTTCTATGACTTGGTGTTGAGTATGTTACAAAACCACATCTCTCCAATGGAACTGACCCATTTTGATCATGCTGAAAAAAACATGTTTGGGATATCAGCTTGAAGGTGTTTTTATGTAATCAGGCCAGCTCTCTGGAATGTCCTAGTGTGGAAAGTTTGAGTAGCCTCAACTTTAGCTACTTTCCAGGGGCAGCAGAAAATAAAGAATCCAGAGCCTGCCTGGGGATTGACAGCAAATGCTGTGTCAAGTTATATAGCTATATTTTTATTATTTATTGCTTTACTACTTGTTATGAGTCACTGAGAATCTTTTTATGATTATGATGGAATATGAATGCAATAAATCTATCTATCTATCTATCTATCTATCTATCTATCTATCTATCTATCTATCTATCTATCTATCTATCTACCTACCTACCTACCTACCTACCTACCTACCTACCTACCTACCTATCTAGTCACAAAAGAAAGAAAACTTGTTTGCTGGTATTTCCTTCCCAATGCAGAGGCCAGAATCTGGAGATTTTACCTTAAGTGCACCAGTGGTGGATAGGAAGCAGCAGCATGAGAATGAGAAAGGTATTTTTGTGGTTGTGGCAAGGTTCCACACATCCTAGCACTTATATATTGAATCAGCCCATTGTTATAGCTGTATTAACATTTATACAATGATTAGCAGTGTTTCTCCAAAAATTCAGATGGGAAATCTTATCCTATCCTGTGAGGGATGCCAGGAATTGATCATGGGATATTCTGCACATAAAACTTCAGACATTTCTGTGAAAAGAGAAGAATGTGATTTACCCCCTTTGCAAATGTTAGGGTTTATTTTTGGAGAACCCTGTTTTTGGGAGAACAAGAGATTTGATACTATGTTGATAAGACTAAAGCTTATAATAGAATAACAGAGTTGTACGGGACCTTGGAAGTCTTCTAATCCAACCCTCTGTTCAGGCAGGAAACACTATACCATTTCAGACAAATGGTTGTCCAGTCTCTTCTTAAAAACCTCCAGTGTTGGAGCGTTGACAACTCTGGGGGCAAGTTGTTTCACTGATTAATTGTTCTGTCTCCCTAGTTCAGACATGTCAAACTCACGATGTCATGTGATGTCGCGTAATGTATTGGAACTTTTTCCCCATTGCTGGCAATGGGGTGGGCGCAGTTCCGTTGTCACGCATCCGGCCCGCAGGCCGGCAGTTTGACACCACTGTCCCAGTTCTAGGTTGCTTCTCTCCTTAATTTCCATCCATTGCTTCTTGTCCTGCCTTCAGGTGTTTTGGAGAATAGGTAGACTCCCTCTTCTCTGTGGCAACCCCTGAGATATTGGAATGCTGCTATCATGTCCCCCCTCATCCTTCTTTTCATTAAACTAGACATACCCAATTCCAGCAATTGTTCTTTGTATGTTTTAGTCCCCTAATCAGAGTCTCCAACATCTTTTTTACATTGTGGCGACCAAAGCTGGATGCAGAATTCCAAGTGTGGTCTTACCAAGGCATTATAAAGTGGT